TGGAGTTTCACTCTCATTGCCCAGGCTGGAGTGCAATGGTGCAATCTCAGCTCACTGCAACCTCCGCCTCTCGGGTTCAAGCGATTCTCCTGCCTCAGCCTCCTGAGTAGCTGGGATTTCAGGCATGCGCCACCATGCCCAGCTAATTTTGCATTTTAAGTAGAGACAGGGTTTCTCCATGTTGGTCAAGCTGGTCTTGAACTCTTGACCTCAAGTGATCTGCCTGCCTCGGCCCCCCAAAGTGCTGGGATTACAGGCGTGAGCTACTGTGATTACAGGCGTGAGCTACCGCGCCAGGCCTGATCCCTGCTTTCAAAAGGCTATTTGGGAGAAAGAAATGACACAGCTGGGTGCGGTGGCTCACACCTGTAATCCCAGCACTGTGGGAGGCCAAGGCGAGCAGATCACGAGGTCAGGTGATCGAGACCATCCTGGCTAACACGGTGAAACCCCGTCTTTACTAAAAATACAAAAAATTAGCCAGGAGTGGTGGCGGGTGCCTGTAGTCCCAGCTACTCAGGAGGCAGAGCTTGCTGTGAGCCAAGATCTCGCCACCGCACTCTAGCCTGGGCAACAGAGCGAGACTTGGAAAGAGAGAAAGAAAGAGAGAAAAGAAAAGAAAGAACGAACAAACACAAAGAAAGGATACAGAGAAAGTGAACGTGTCACTTTTCTATGTTGCCCAGGCTGGTCTTGAACTCCTGGGCACATGTGGTCTGCCCACCTTGGCCTCCCAAAGTTCTGGGATTACAAGTGTGAACCACATCAGACCTCACTTTTCATTCATACAATCTCATTTGAATTTCACAGCTATGTTAAATAAGCTCATTTTACAAATGAATGTGAGATTCACGAGGACCCAACCTGGCCAGTAAATTAGTGACAGAGCCTCTGACTTCTGTGAGTTTTCCACATCTGAATGTACCTTATTATTTCTTAGTTGATACATAAATTATCTTTAATGAAAAAGAAGACAAGCCAGAGCCACTTCTCCAGGGCTAGGGTCCCAGGAGGGTGTGGAAGAGAGGAGATGCGGGCGGGACCCACCTCGGGCTCCCACGGAGGACACGCTGCTTCGGTGGGACCGCTCAGCGGGGCCGGGCTGCCCAGTACTGCCTTCTGTCCCGTCCATCTGCAAAGGCAAAGAGAAACAGCAGTTACCGGGAGCCAGGGATGGGGGAGTTGGAGGTCTCCTCAAGCTCTCAGTGAGGACGGTAAGGGGTCCCGGGCTGGGTTCGCAAGGTTGAGCGGCGCTGCCTGGAGGGGCCAAGAGTGCAGACCGGGCACTGGTGGGAGGGGTGCGGGTTGCTACGGTCAAGAACGGAGGTCGACCGGGATGCCCAGGCAGGACAAGGCGCACCGCCAGCCGGGGACGGGGGCCCGGGCCAGACGTCGCCGTGCTCTCACCACGCAGGGACACAGAGCCCGCCACCTGAGAGGCCAGGCTCCTGCCCGGAATCCTGCCCCGCCGCCAAGCCCGCCACCGGCCGCACTCCGGCTCCCGCTAAGGAGCCAGCTGTCCGGGAAGCTACGCGGAAGCTGAGGCTGGAGGAAGCGCGGCGCCCGTGGCCCCGCCCCTCCGGCCGACGGGAGCCAATGGGAGCCCAGGGCCGCCCCGCGCGGCCCGCGCATGCCCGGACGCCAGCCTCGCATGTCTAGTCACGCCCGTGGGGTGGTGGCGTCACGTACAAGCTCGGCCACCACCCGAGTGATCCAGGGCTAGTTTCCCCTCACAAAGGCCCCGAGTGTTGGCCTGTAAGAGGGTTTGGCGAAGAAATCGAGAATCAGGCTAGGGGCCTTGGCATGCCCACGCTGGGACTTCGGGCTAGTTCCCTGCCTGTGAAATGGACACTTCGTGGCACGTGCCAGGGATCCACGCGGCGCTGGCAGTGGCCTGTAACTCGTAGCTCTCTCGGCAGTGGTCAGGAGAATGGGTCCTGGCCCATTCTCATCCTGGACAAGTCCCTTCTCCTCTGGGCCTCAGTTTTCCTCATCTGTAAAATGAGAAGGTTGAACTCAAGGACTCCCAAGGACTATCTCTACTCTCAAATGATTATTAATATATGTCTATGTCAGAAAACCAGGACAGACACTCTGTTTTTCCAGGGAGCAGTCACGTGAGCCCTTGCAATCTTATATAACAGCCTAGGAGACCTTGAGGTGTTCCCAGGCTGGGAGGAGACTTGGGGCCCCAAAGAGGCAGGTGTGAAACCACCTACCCTCAGGGCCATGTCACTGACATGTCCTGGTAATGCAACGTGTGTGCATCTGAGATGTGGAACTCGGGGAGAAAAATAAGTCCATGGAGCACCTTCTGGGGCCAGAGGAACCAGAAGTTGTTTCAAGTGACAGCAGTGGGCTTGGGGATCAGGAACAGAGGGCAGTGGGTTCACTTTGCCCTGGTTCCCTGGGATTGGAAAGCAGCTCTAGCTCCTGGCTGAGTCCTGCCTTCTTCGGCATGTGAAGCAGCTCTGCCTGCCCTCCTGTGATCCACACTGCCCCACAGCTGAGCCCATGACACCACATCTGCCTTGCTGATGTGACCTAAGGACTTGAGGAACTCAGACGTGGGCTGCAGGGAAGGGTGTCCAGTGAGGGCAGGCATCTCCTTCCTGGTTCTCAGCTCTGGGACCTTTAGACCAGGACACACTGTATCTCCATGGCCTTTCGACCCAGCTGGAGTGAAGCGGGAGCAGAAGAGTTCGGTGTTGTTTTGAATGCTTACTGGATGCAGGGCCTGTGCTAGGTAAGGAGATGGAGACTGAGGGGAGACATGGCCCAGCCCTCAGGAAGTGCCTGTTGTGGTTTAATTGGTGAGTTGAGGAAGAGGGGAAAGAGGAAGAAGCCCAGGAGAACAGCACATTTAAAACCTCAGCACTTTGGGAGGCCAAGGCAGGAGGATCACCTGAGGGCAGGAGTTCAAGACCAGCCTGGGGAACATAGTGAGACCCCATCTGTAAAAAAACCCAAAAATCAGCCAGGTGTGGTGGCACACATCTGTGGTCCTAGCCATTCAGGAGCCTGAGGTGGGAGGATCGCTGGAGCCCAGGAGTTCAAGATCACAGTGAGCTCTGGTAGTGCCATCCGGCCCCTGTACTCCAGCCTGGACAACAGCGAGACTCTGTCTCCAAAAAAATAAATAAAACCACAGAAGATGACAGCATTGCTTTAAGAACTATGAAATGCTACAAGCAGGAAAAGTCTTGCTGTGTGTGGGGCACGGGGCCAGGCCCTTTCCCCGTTTCCTGTGTCGTTCTCACACTTCCCGAGAGTGGAAATAAGTCTTAGCAGTTGCCATTTACGTGCCAGCCACTTTTTACAGTGCTTTAATCCTTAGAACTGACTAAAAGGTGAGTATCGTATCTCTGTTTGATGTCAAAGACTGACACCGGGGAGTCTCTGTGGTGGTGGTGGGGAGGCTAGAACCCGGGTCTAGCCAACGAAGGTCACTGCGAGGGAGTCCGGGAGGCTGATGGTGGGGAAGGAAAGGCATTCCATGTAGTGGGAGCTGCACGAGCATGGTTAGGACCCCAGGAAAGACCCCCGCTGTGTCAGAGCACAGCAGGTGGGTGGCACCATGGGGGAGGCCTTGAACCCCAGGATGACAGATATGGGGCAGGTGTGTCAGACAGTAAGAACATTTTGGAGGTTGTGAGCTAGAGATTCACAAGATGACGCCATGCGTGGGTGGGCTTCCCTTCAGGAAGGCCCTAGGGAAGTGGGAATGAAGGTCTTGAACTGGGGTGAGGCGGTGAGATTGGAAAAGAGAATGAGACTCATTCTGAAATGAGGGAGGAGGTGGCTTCCAGCCTTTAGAGCCGAGAGGCTTAGACATCAGTTAGCCCGACTGCTGTCCTACTTTGGCAAACGGTAATAGACCCCAAGGCCCACAGAAGGGGCTGCTTAACATCGCTCAGGGAGATCATGTAATCACCCACTGGGTTCACCTCACCCTCTGCCTAGACAGAGCCAGTTTGTCAAGACAAGGGAATTGCAATAAGGAGAGTTTAATTCATGCAGAGCTGGCTGTACGAGAGACTGGAGTTTTATTGTTACTCAAATCAGTCTCCCTGAGAATTCCAGGACGGAGTTTTTAAGGATAATTTGGTGGGTAGGGGCCGGTGAGTTGGGAGTGTTGATTGGTTGGGTCTCAAATGAAATCATAGGGAGTTGAAGCTGTCCTCTTGTGCTGAGTCAGGTCCTGGGTGGGGGCCACAAGACCAGATGAGCCAGTTTATGGATCTGAGTGGTGCCCGCTGATCATCAAGTGCAGGGTCTGCAAAATATCTCAGGCCCTGATCTGAGCTTTTACAATAGTGATGTTATTCCCAGGAGCAATTTGGGGAGGGTCAGAATCTTGCAGTCTCCAGCTGCATGACTCCTAAACCATAATTTCTAATCTTGTGGCTAATTTGTTAGTCCTACAAAGGCAATCTAGTCCCCAGGCAGGAACAGGTTTTGTTTTGGGAAAGGGCTGTTATCATCTTTGTTTCAAAGCTAAACTATAAACTGAGTTCCTCCCAGTTAGTTCGGCCTATGGCCAGGAGTGAAAAAGAACAGCTTGGAGGTTAGAAGCAAGATGGAGTCAGTTAGGTCAGATCTCTTTCACTGTAATAAATGTATCAGTTATAGTTTCCCCCACCCCGAGACGGAGTCTCTCTGTGTCGTCCAGGCTGTAGTGCAGTGGCATGATCTTGGCTCACTGCAACCGCCGCCTCTCGGGTTCAAGCGATTCTTCTGCCTCAGCCTCCTAAGTAGCTGGGACTACAGGCGCCCGCCACCACACCTGGCTAATTTTTGTATTTTTGGAAGAGACGGGGTTTCACTATGTTAGTCAGGCTGGTCTCGAACTCCTGACCTCAGGTGATCCATCTGCCTCGGCCTCCCGAAGTGCTGGGATTACAGGCGTGAGCCACTGCACCCTGAGCCACTGCAGCCGGCCTGTATCAGTTATAGTTTCTGCAAAGGCAGTTTCAGGAATAGGAAGCAGAACCAGGACTGCAGCCCAAGCCACCACGAGAGGCCGGTCTTTGGGGATGGTCTTTCAGGACGATATTTGTGGGTGGCCCAAGGAGCCCCAGGCAGCTCCAGAGGGAGGAAGTGGGAGGTCCTGTTTCCAGAATCTGTCCACCCACGAGAAAGCAGCAGGGGTGGCTGGGTTCTACCTTAGCCACAATGAGAGGAGAGGTGTGAGCAGGACTGGGCCTTGGGCGTCTCCCATAGGAGACTAGGAGCTGCCGGGAGATGTGGAGGGGATGATGCAGGTGTCACTGGGCCTTGATGTTCCCCAGGGCCTTTTGGCGGTGAGAAGAGGGAACTGGAGCCCCAAGGCTGCCGCTGATGCTGCTCGCTGACATTTCCGTTCATTCAGTCACTCAGGATTTATTGAGCGCCCACCCCGTGCCACCCGCTGTGAACAGAACACCCAGAGATCCCTGCCCAGACAGACAAGTTCTTCCTGTCACATGCTGGGGTGATAACTGTGATAGAGAAAGAGAGGAAGAGCCAGCAGTGCCTCCGGCTGGGGAGACGGGGCAGACCTCACCGAGGTGGTGACATTTGAGCCCCAGCTGAAGGGGTGCCAGGGCAAGAGTGCCCAGGAAGAGGGAAGAGCCTGGAGGCAGAAGGCTGACTGAAGAAGAATCTGGAGGCTCGGGTGGCTGCAGCAGAGAAAGCAAGGGGGTGGGTGGCAGGACGTGAGGTCAGAGGAGAATGGGCGGCACCCTGTGGCTCACAGATCCTTGAAAGGGTTTTGGTTTTGACTGAGCAGAACGGGGCCATTGCAGATCAACATGCACTTTAAATGATCAAAACCCCCATCTTTCCCCTGGGAAGGAGGAGGCCAAGGAAGGCTGTGTTTCTGACTCACACGGGGGAGTCGGGGGAGTCGTAAACAACCCTGGAGAGAACAGCCAGGCCTGGTGAGTCACTCCTGGGAGTGGCTCCTCCCCACCCTGCCACGCAGCCGGCAGCTGCGGGCTGGGCCTACCCCCTGGTGGCCATGCTCCCTCCGCACCTGGCCTCTCTCTGTGGCATGGGGGCGGCCGTGCCCCTTGGTGGCGATGAATGGGAGTGGAGTTGGGCTGGCTGGGCAGGCAGGGGCTTGCCTCTTGCTGACTAAGGCAGCCCTGGAGGGGCCCGACCATGGGGCAGGGACCCAGTTGCCATCTCCAGAGCCAGGATCATTGGCCAGGCTGGGGAATCAGGGCCCCTGTGGTCCTGGCACGCCTGGCCCATGAGACTGTACTCTGCACGACTCCTCCAGGTGGCCAGGGTCACCGGAGCTGGCTCGCTCCCCTCTGCCAGTTGCTGGAGGTCCGGGCACCAGGCCACATCTCACCTTCCCGCCAGGGTTAAACATTAGTGGGAGGTTATTAGCGTGGGCCAGGGGAGGGAGGGGGGAAATTCAACTCTGTCTCCTTTGCTGGAGCCGCCAGTTTCTGCAAGCCCAGACAATGCCGGTGGAGGAGTTTGTGGCTGGCTGGATCTCTGGTGAGACATTTTTCTTCCTTCTGTCACATCACACCCAATGGTAGGTCACTCCCTGGGGAAGATGGGTGACACGGGAGGAGTGGAGACCAAAGTCTGAGTTCCGGCCTGGCAGGAGGATCACTTGAGCCCAGGAGTTTGAGACCAGTCTGGGCAACATAGGGAGGCCCCTGTCTCTACAAAAAATCAAAAAACAAATTAGCTGAGCATGGTGTAGACCCAGCTACTCAGGAGGATTGCTTGAGCTCAGGAGTTCAAGGCTGCAGTGAGCTATGACTGCACCACTGCACTCCAGCCTGGGTGACAGAACGAGACCCTGCCACAAAAAAAAAAAAAAAAAAAAGGCAGGGCATGGTGACTCACATCTGTAATCCCAGCACTTTGGGAGGCTGAGGCAGGAGGATCACTTGGGGTCAGGAGTTTGAGAACAGCCTGGGCAACATAGGAAGACCCTGTCTCTCTAAGAAATGAGAGGCTGGGCCCTGTGGCTCATGCCTGTAATCCCAGCACTTTGGGAGGCCGAGGTGGGTGGATCATGAGGTCAGGAGTTCGAGACCAGCCTGGCCAACATGGTGAAACCCCCAACTCTACTAAAAATACAAAAATTATAGCCAGGTGCAGTAGTGGGCACCTGTAATCCCACCTACTTGGGAGGCTGAGGCAGGAGAATCGCTTGAACCCGGGAGGTAGAGGTTTGCAGTGAGCTGAGATCACACCACTGCACTCTAGCCTGGGCAACAGAGCGAGACTCCATCTCAAAGAAAAAGAAAAGAAATAAGAAAAAAATTAGCCAGGCTTGGTGGCGCATGCTTGTGGTCCCAACTACTCCAGAGGCTGAGGTGGGAGGAGCCCTTGAGCCCGGGAGGTTGAAGCTGCGATGAGCCATGATCATGCCACTGCACTCCAGCCTGGATAACAGAGCAAGACCCTGTCTTTAAAAAAACAAAAAGTCTGGGTTCCCTGGAGCACCCCAGAACCAGCTGTCCCCAGTCCTCCGGGGATTGGCCGATGGGGAGAAGAGAAGGTGCAGGTGTGAGGTGCTGCCTCTGCCTTCCAAGGTCACTCTGCCTGACACCTGCAGAGGGCGGGAGAGCCAGGTGAGCACCGTATACCTTGAGCCCTGCTCTCCAGACCCACCCTGTGGAGCTCACAAAGGAAGCTCTCCTTTGGCCTCACCTGCTGTCCTGAGCTCCCTCTGGGCCTCTGCCCTACCTGGCTGTGGGCCGCAGTCCGGGGCCCTGAGGCCTGTTGTGCTGTGGTCCCAGCCCAGCTTCTGGGTGGCATTCCTCTTAGGAGAAAGAGAGGGACGTTCTGAACCTGCCTCCTGGGAGTGCGACCTCCCCTAAGCTCCAGAACCAGCCTCCGCTGTGGAGGGCAGGGCTAGCAGTGGGCAGGTGGACGGGAGGGGAGAAGCTCCTCCGCAGGTGCCCAAGCATGACCCCCATCAGGGCCCTGCAGTTCTGCGTGGCCAGCTGGCAGCAGGGCCTGCTCTGGATCCTGGCGACAACATTATGAGTTGAAGAAAAAAAGAGTAAAGCTCTCAGAGAGGCAGGAACCTGGGTGATTCGCCCAGAGTCCCATGTCTCATAGGCAGTAGGTTACCTGGGTGTGGGCTCCAGAGAGGACACATGCATCTTTGGCTGGCTCTTCCCTCCTGGGTGTGCGTCCTCAGGTGGGGCCTGGGGTCTTACTCCCTTGTCCCAGTGCCTTCCTGGCCCAGTGCCTGTGTGGAGGGGGTGTCGGGGCAGCTGGAGTCTCCGGAGCTTGGCAGGAAGGTGGCTGCACGTGTCTGAGATGGCGCTGCTCTCCTTCCTCCTGCCTGAACCCCTCTTTCCTCTTGGCACAGACTTGCTTCCTGGGCCTGGCACGAGGGCCCTCACTCATAGCACCTTCTTGTCACCACAGGAGCTCTGGGCTTGGTCCTGGGACACCCCTTTGACACTGTAAAGGTGAGTTTAGGAGAGGCACCAGAGGAATGAAAGATCGCACCTAACCCAAACGTCAGGGTGCCCTGAGATCAGGCCTGGCTAATCTTGCCTTTCCTGCCTCTCTTGCTGGCTGGCATCCTGCTTGAGGGGGCAGAGGGAAAGGTTGGCCCACCTGCCCATCCCGCCACCCCACCTACCCTGTTCTCCCACCCAGGTGCGACTGCAGACCCAGACCACCTACCGGGGCATCACTGATTGCATGGTCAAGATTTACCGCCATGAGTCCGTGAGTGAACCACTCCTTTGGGGGACGCATCTGGGGCCATTGGTACCAGCTTCCCGCTCCAGCAGGGTTCTACCCCTGGAGGAGAGAAGACCATGTCTGGGATCCTTGGGGGGCCTGGGTGGTAGCCTGGCACCCCAATGGCTCAGCCTCAGCCTGTCCCCACCTCCCTGTGGCAGGACTTGGGAGCAGTTTCCAGCCAGAGGCTGCCTTTCCAGGGCTGGAGAGGACAAAGGGGAGGCCCCACGGTGCCTACTCCAGTGCCACTGTGTCTCTCTGCAGCTCCTGGGCTTCTTCAAGGGAATGAGCTTCCCCATTGCCAGCATAGCTGTGGTCAACTCTGTCCTGTTTGGGGTCTATAGCAACACCCTGCTGCTGCTCACGGCCACCTCCCACCAGGAGCGGCGGGCCCAGCCACCCAGCTACACGCACATCTTCCTAGCGGGCTGCACCGGGGGGTTCCTGCAGGTGAGGGGGCAGTGGGTGGGCACACACGAGTGTCATAGGGATGGTCATGTCGATCTGTCCTCTTCCGCCCTGCTCTGGTGACCCACAGCTATGGAGGCACAGGCCTCCTGGAGGGGAACAAGAGGCTTGTGCTGTGGCTTTCCAGGCTGCAGGCCTTTGGGGGAGCGCTGTGGGGAACGGAAGAGGCAAAAGGCAGACAGAGCTGGTGGGCAGTACCAAGAGGGTGCTGGGAGAAGCAGCCTGGGCCACTCGCTCCAGCTGTCAGGGCTTGCCCTCCTCCAGAGGGGTCTGCCAGACTCAGGGCTGTGGGGACCCCACTCCCTAAGGAGACCTTTGACCCTGGAGAACTTCCAGCCCCCCGCAGAGCTGTGAGCCCAGCCCCTCTGGCCAGGTCCTGATGAGGTCCTGACACTCCCCCGGTCCCGCTGGCTCTACCCTTTGCCTGCAGCGCTTGCGTGGCCATGACCTGGGAGCCTCACCTGAGGCCCCGGCCCAGCAGGGCATTAGCCATTAAGTCACTGCCGTCATTTGGGCTTTAGGCTTTAGAGGGGCAGATGAAGGGAAGAGGGACCAGCCGCCGCCAGTGGGAGCCGGTACTGACAGGTGCCTGTGAACATAAGCAGGCACAGGGTGCGCCTGGTACCCACTCACAGCCCCACCACGAGCCAGGGTCGCCCTCTCCTGGGCGGCTGCCCCCAGTTCCCTGTCACACTTCATGGGGCAGAGAGCAAGGACAAAGGACAAAGTCAGGCTGCTCCTTCAAATGAATTAATGATTAATGAGACCCCCGGAGGCCCTGGCTTTTCTTCTGCCCCTTCTTGTGCGAGGTGTCACCTATAGGTTTCCTGAATCCCACGAGCCACATCCCACAGACACAAGGAAGAGAACTGAGGCCCTCAGCTAAGTGGCCAGGCGCAGCTTCTAAGTCACCCTGCCCCCTCCAGCTCTTTGGAAAGCAGAAGTGGGGACTGTGAGGGCCGCTGATGGAGCCTGGGTTTACAGTCAAACCTGTGGCTTCCGTTTACCAGAGTCTTAGAAGAAAAATGTGTTTTAGTGTGGAGTGGAAGAAGAGGCAGGGATTGGCAGCCTCTGACAGGCACAGATGTTGCCCTGGGCTTGGCCAAAGCTGACCTTCTGAAATGGCATCTGACATTCCACCACCCCGTGGGGCTGCCTGTCACCTGGCATCAGCCTCGCTCTGTCCTCAGCCCCCAGGAGCTCAGGGCTCAGAACACCCCCCGAAGCCCTGAGCTCAGCCCTGCCAGCACGCTCTGGAGGGTGGCACAAGGCCCCATCTCCCAAGGGATGGTCCCCAACCTACGACCCTTCCTGCCAGGGCCAAAGTAAACAAGCGAAGACTTGGCCTGCCAAACCCTAAGGACCAGCACCGGAGGTGACCGCCAGCCCCCGTCGCCATCAGCCATCGCCAGGGCTGAGGAACTGAGCCCATGAACCTGTCACAAAACAAACGAGCGAAAAACACATAAGTCCCTCCTAGATAGGCTGGCCTCAACATGGACTGTGACTCTCACCTGGACTCCGAAAGCCATCTTGACCTAGTGGCATCTCTGACCCAAACCTTAACTGCCGCCATCACTCTCTACATCCCCCTAGCACTGACCCTTACCAGGACCCCAGCCCCAATTCCATCCCAAATCTGTGTAGTGTCTGCTTCCGCCGATGCTAAGAGCTCTAGCACCTGCCAAGTCCCCCCATTACCCACCTTCCCACACTCAGAAGCCTCTTTGGTGGAATGCTAATGGGAGGGAGTCTTGCCTCTCCAGAGGCAGGAAGGGCTGGCCTTGTGCCCCCCGGGCCTCTGAGAAGTGGGTGCAGGAGAACAACACTCGCGAGGGGACCTCCTTCACCCTGGGAGAGGGTGGCCTCTTTGCTATTTCACAGTCACAGGCTGAATCCTTCACTTGCCCCTGCTCACCGTGCAGGTATGCTCACTGCCGGCTTTAGGGAGGCCAGAAACCAACCTGCTCCTGCAAAAAGAATCCGGGCTTGTTCTGAGTGCCTGGTGCAGGCCAGGCAAGTTGGTCACTGTTGCATGAGGAGGGGGCAGTGCCTCTCGCTCTTGGGCCTGATGCCAAGGGAGGTGGCCTGTCCCCATCGCATGCAGACATCCTGGCCATCCCAGCCACACATGCACGTGAGAGGCTGGGCACTGGCAGGGTTCCTGAGGAAGCGGATGATGCGGTCCTCTGCCTGCATCCTTCCTCTTGTGAATGTAAGGGGCCAGTTCCCAGCCCAAAGCCCCACCTGGGGCCTTCATGTTTCGTCCCCAACAGGCCTACTGTCTGGCTCCTTTTGACCTCATCAAAGTCCGGCTACAAAACCAGACAGAGCCAGTGGCCCAGCCGGGTAGCCCCCCACCCCAGTACCAGGGGCCCGTGCACTGTGCAGCCTCCATCTTCCGGGAGGAGGGGTACCGGGGGCTGTTCCGAGGAGCCTGGGCCCTGATGCTGAGGGACACCCCCACGGTGGGGATCTACTTCATCACCTATGAAGGGCTCTGTCGCCAGTACACACCAGAAGGCCAGAATCCCAGTAAGTAAAGTGGTGTGAGAGGACGGGGGACAGAGGTGTGTGTAGCAGGCAGGGTCCAGCGGGGACTGGGGAAGGAGATTAGGGTCTGGGGAGGATGCTGTGTTCTTGGTCTGACCCCTGCTCTGGGCTCCCTCTGCCCCAGGTTCAGCCACAGTGCTGGTGGCAGGGGGCTTTGCAGGCATTGCTTCCTGGGTGGCAGCCACGCCCTTAGACGTGATCAAGTCCCGGATGCAGATGGACGGGCTGAGACGAAGAGTATACCAGGGGGTGCTGGACTGCATGATGAGCAGCGTCCGGCAGGAAGGACTGGGGGTCTTCTTCCGGGGGGTCACCATCAACAGTGCCCGCGCCTTTCCCGTCAATGCTGTCACCTTCCTCAGCTACGAATATCTCCTCCGCTGGTGGGGATGAGCCCTGCGGCAATGCCAATGGCTCCCCATCAGGCCCATGGCCCGGAAGCCAGTTTGAGATTGGAGGCCAGGTTGAAAATCTGCAGCTTGCAAATCAGTGCAAGAGGCTCAGCCCTTCCTAACCAAGGCACCTCCCACCCGAGCAGATCTGGGCTGGGCAGATGCCTGCAGGAGCCAGAAGCCAGGGGGCCTGGGCAGCCTCCCTGTGTAGCTGGCCTTGACTCCTTTGCCTCCCACGTCTGTGAAACAGGGAGCATGAGGCACAAGTGAGCTGGCAACATCCCAGCCCCTGTCCTGTACCGTCACCTCTTTTTTTTTTTTTTTATTTTGAGATGGAGTCTTGCTCTGTTGCCCAGGCTAGAGTGTGGTGGAGCGATCTCGGCTCACTGCAACCTCCGCCTTTCCACCTTCCAGGTTCAAGCGATTCTCCTGCCTCAGCCGCCCGAGTAGCTGGGACTACAGGTGGGCACCACCACGCCCAGCTAATTTTTTGTATTTTTAGTAGAGACAGAGTTTCACCATGTTAGCCAGGATGGTCTCAATCTCCTGACCTTGTAATCCACCCACCTCGGCCTCCCAAAGTGCTGGGATTACAGGTGTGAGCCACCGTGTCCGGCCGCCATCACCTCTTAAGGAGATCTGAGACTCCGCTTCTGAGAGTCCCCGCTGCCTCCCACCTCCCTGCCTTTCAAAGCTCTCTCCCCCATGACACAGGATAACCCCATGTCTCCTCCGGCCAGAATCCTTCAGTGGCTCTCATCACCTTCAGGAAAAGCCCAGACTCCTCCCACCCTCCAGGTTCCTCCCTCCCCACGAGGCTTCGTTCTCCTGGGGTTGCTCCCTGGACCCTGAACAAGCTGTGCTCTCATTGCCTGGGCCTGGCCAGCAGTGCCCGGCAGGGTGGCTCCACCATTCCCGGGCTGGCCCCACTCTCCTCTGAGACCCAGGCTGAACCTGGTCTCCCGGTCCTTCCTCGACTCGCCTCCCCACCTGAGGCTGACTTTGGGGTTCCCAGACACCCCACCCGCACACCTGCCTTGATCATAGCACTTGCCTGCGCTTCTTCAGAGTCGTTAATTTGCTTCTCGGCTTCCCCACTGGACTGTGAGCTCCCTGAGGTCAGGGATTGCGCTTTGGATGGTTTCCAGCCTGAGCTTGGTGCTTGAACAGACATGTGCAATAAATGCTCATTAAATGATACGACTGTACTCCTGACCTGTCTCTCCCACGCCAGCTGCCACACCTGCTTTCTTGGTCTTGCCACACAGCTTTCTGTTGAATCTCCCAGCCCCCATTTGCCTGTTCTGACCTGTCTCGAGGTCACCTGCAGTGGAGGATGCTGGGAGCTGGGGGTCTGTCTGCTTTGCCCACTCCTAGCCGATGGCACTTGTTTTCTTTTTCTTTTTTTCTCTATTCTTTCTTTTTCTAGATACAGGTCTCACTCTGTTGCCCAGGCTGGAGGGCAGTGGTGCCATCATAGCTCACTGCGACCTTGAACTCCTGGGCTCAAGCGATCTTCCCACCCTAGTCTTCTAAGTAGCTGGGGCTCCAGGTGTGTGCCACTGCACCTGGCTAATTTTTTATTTTTATTGTTTGTAGAGAGGAGGTCTCACTATGTTGCCCAGGCTGTCTTGAACTCCTGAGCACAGCCAGCCCTCCCACCCTGGCCTCCCAAAGAGCTGGGGTTACCGGTGCGAGCCACTGTCGTTTTCTTTACCCATCTCAGTTGCTCAGTGGGAATTAAAAACTGGCTGAGAGGGTTCTTTTAACTGACAACAAAATTGAGCATCAAGGGCTATTTGTACCAACTAATGTCCCTATCTGGTCTGAGACCAACGTGAGTGCACCTCATGGTGACCTGAATTCCTGCCATTTACCGGTGCCTCCCTGTAGAAACAATCACAGTGTAATGATCACAGCTGGCAGAGAGGCAGCCTTGGCTCAGAGACAGTTTGCAGCTTGTCCTAGGCCACACCACGGGTAAGTCATACGATGTGCTTGGATGCCTCTGAGCTTCCAGCCCCAGCGTCCAGTTACTTAGCTACCCTGCTCCACCTGGGCACATGGGGGTCTTCCGTGAGTCGCCTAAGTTCAACTGCCCCCACACTACCCTGGGCTAGACCCGCCGGGACCATGCTCCATCACGTGCTCGTCGGAGCTCTCCTTTACCAGATCCTGTGCTGGCCTCCAGCCATCTGCAGCTAGTTTTTGTATTTTTAGCAGAGACAGGGGTTTCACCATGTTGGCCAGGCTGGCCTCGAACTCCTGGCCTCATGTGATCCACCCGCCTTGGCCTCCCAAAGTGCTGGGATTACAGGCCCTGAGCCACCGTGCCTGGCTTTCCTCTGTGATCCCTTCCAAGTAGACAATCTCTGAGCCCACCACAGCCAGCACCACAGTGCCAGGGACTCCAGGCTGGACACTGCAGTGACGGTACAGCAGGCGCCAGAACACCACCGGGCAGCCAGAGGCTTGAAGGAAGCAAACAGGAGCATGGGAGGAGGAGGTGGACTCCTATAAACAGTGCAGAGAGTAGGCAGGAGGGCAGGTAAGAGTGGTCCTCTTGTTGTTTGCTATTTCTCATCAAATTACTAGTCAGTGGGAATTCCCATTTGGGCGCGTCCCTGTTTCTGAGAGAGAGCGTTCTCTTCTGTCCCTTTGGCCTATTAAACATCTGCTCCTAAACTAAAACAAAACAAAACAAAACAAAAAACCAGTTAGCAAGGGAATACAACGAAAAACATCTATTTTGGCTTTAGTTAAATGGCTCCCACTCTCCCTCTCTGGTTCTATCCAGAGGCATCTCCTGAAGAGCCTGGAGTGCCCCTCCTCTAAACTCCACCTTACACCAGAGAGGAGCTCTCCTTCCCCACAGCCATGCCAAAAGAGTCCCTAACTCCCTCTTTTTTTTCTTTTTTTTTGAGTCAGAGTCTCACTCTGTCACCCAGGTTGGAGTGCAATATGGCGCGATCTCTGGCTCAGTACAACCATCCGCCTCCCAGGTTCAAGCAATTCTCCTGCCTCAGCCTCCCGAGTAGCTGGGGATTACAGGCACCCGCCACCACGCCTGGCTATTTTTGTGTTTTTAGTAGAGACGGGGTTTCACCATATTGGCCGGGCTGGTCTCAAACTCCTGACCTCGTGATCCGCCCGCCTCGGCCTCCCAAAGTGCTGGGATTACAGGCTTGAGCCACTGCTCCCAGCCCCTAACTCCTCTTAACCCTTTGAAAGATTTCTACTCCTTCCCAGTTTTTTAGAGATGGGGTCTCATTATGCTGCCCAGGCTGGTCTCAAATTCGTGGGCTCAAGTGATCCTCCTGTTTCAGCCTCCCAAAGTGCTGCGGTTACAGGCGTGAGCTACCGCATCTGGCCTCCACTCCCTCTTTACCAATCCTAATAGCACAGCCCTGGTCCTGTCTCAGATCTGAACATGTACTTTACCTTTTTTTTTTTTTTTTGAGACGGAGTCTTGCTCTATCGCCGAGGCTGGAGTGCAGTGACAAGATCTCGGGCACTCGCACTCCACACCTCCCGAGTTTAAGCATTCTTGCCTCAGCCTCCCGACTAGCTGGGATTACAGGCACCCACCACCCACGCCCGGCTAATTTTTTGTATTTTAGTAGAGACGGGGTTTCACCATCTTGGCCAAGCTAGTCTTGAACTCCTGATCTTGTGATCTGCCCGCCTCAGCCTCCCAAAGTGCTGGGATTACGGACGTGAGCCACCACACCCTGGCCCACGTGCTTTAACTTTTGGCAAGTCACGCATCTCTCCCAAGTTTCCCTGCCGCAGGCATCGCACCTTCGCTGGTTCCTTAAGCACATCAGGCTTCCCTCCCATCACAAGAATTCGCACATGCCTTCTTCTTTTTTTTTTTTTTTTTTTGAGACAGAGTCTCGCTGTGTTGCGCCAGCGTTGTAGTGCAATGGCACCATCAAAGCTCACTGCAGGCGTCAACCTCTCAGGCTCAAGTGATCCTCCCATCTTTGGCCTCCCAAGTAGGCTGGCATTACAAGTGTGTGCCACCTTGCCATCTAAAAACGTATCAAATGCTAAAAAGAATTACAATCTGCTTAACGAAAAATAATTGGATCAAGAAAAATAAAGACCAAAAGATACAAC